TTTTTTTTTTTTTTTTGGTCAAAGGCTGTAGCCTTGTACCACTCAAAGGGGCTGTTAGGGTAGCTTGTGAATGGATATTTCACACAGAGTTATGTATTTAACCCATTTCCTGTTTAGAAAAAAAAAAAATACAGCTCGCTGCCAGCGCTCATTTAATTTTACATAAACACACTCTTAGAGGTTGATGCCAATTAATTTTCAATGTGAAAATAAACTATTCTAAGAGTTATTTCTAAACAGAACTTGTCTCTAATCCTAATATAACAGAAATGTATATGATGTTACATTAGGATTTGAGGCAAGAGTATTCTTGGGGCAAACAGGAAATGGGTTAATATATACTTGAAGTAATGTAACCACATCTAACCTGATTTCATGATATATTGGAATTTTTGGTTGCAAGCAACAGGATCAGATTAATTAACTTACTGATTAAAAACCTTATTTGAAAGAATGAGAGACTCCAGAGTCATGGAGAAGTTGAGGACTCAAGGCTTTGGAAAGATCAAGAATTGCAACAGTTTCAGGTATCTTAAGAGTAGGTGTTATGAAGTGTTTCCCCCCGCGTCCCCCCCTCCCAGTGCTGATATCAGGTTGAAATTCTGACAAGTATATTTAGCCTTTATGTCAGTTGGAGTGCCTCCAACTGAAGTTACATGGGTTAGGTACCCATCCCTCAGCAAGAGGAAGGCAAGTTGATGGTAAAACCAAGACTATGTCTAGTAAGGAATAGGTGGTCCCCTGTATTAGTCCATTCTCATGCTGATAATAAAGGCGTACTTGAGACTGGCTAATTTATAAAGGAAAGAAGTTTAATTGACTCACAATTGTCTATGGCTGGGGAGACCTCAGGAATCATGGCAGAAGGGGAAGCAAATGCATCCTTCTTCATAAGAGGGCAGGAATGAGAAGTGCAAAGCAAAGGGGGAAAAGCCCCTTATGAAACCATCAGATCTCCTGAGAACTCACTCATTATCACGAGAACAGCATGGAGGTAACCACCCCCATAATTTAATTACCTCCCACCAGTTCCCTCCCATGACACACGGGAATTATAGGAGCTACAATTCAGGATAAGATTTGGGTGGGGACACAGCCAAACTATATCATCCCCCCAAAAAATTTAGGATTCTTTGCCAAAAGGAAGGGAGAATGGATGCTAAGCAGACTAAAATAATAGATTTTAATCCCTCTTATTGAAAGCTAAGACTAA